TATAAGATGGGAAAGAAACAAAAATAAACGTAAAAAAGTGACAACAGTAACACGCGTATTTCTTTTTTGCTCCAAATTCATCTTTTCGGGTTCAAAAAATCTTAACCCATCAGGTCTCACGCATATTCACTATCACAATAATGGTGAGAGCCTAAGTCAATGACTTATATAGTGTAAATTCGGCCAAAGAAGACATTAGCCCCGATGGCTAAGTAGGTAGGGTGTTAGGTTCGTAAACTGTAGGTCCCAGGTTCAAATCCCGATAGGTAGGCCAAAATTTGCAAGTCGGTACTTGCCATGTCGAGTCTTCGATACTTGCAGATATACAATTGAACATTTTTTTCATCAAAAATTCGATAAATTAAACCATTTTTTGCTATTATTGATCAGTAATAATACATATGATATGGGTGCAGTGTGCATACCTGCAGTGACTATTTACTAAATTTAAAACAACAATTGGCTAGAAATAAGTAAACACGCCTGGGAGTTAGGCAACATCCATTCATGCCGGGCGTCCCCGTTTACTAATTCTAAGACAACAGTTGGTTTCAATACAATAAACGCGCATTCCCGTCCAACACGCCGTTTACTAATTTTAAACAAACCATTAACTTGAAGCCAGTAAATGCACGTGGGAGTTACGCAACTGTTTCCTATTTCTAAGTAAACAGTATACCTAGATCAATACGACGGATACTCACTTCAAACCAACGATAATTTCTTAAATTTAGGAAATATTTTCACGGCATGGAATGTTTCCTTTTTTTAAGTAAACGCTTTCTTCTTTTAAGGGAACGTGGAGCGTTGGATTGAGAAAACGCTATTTCTTGATCCAAGGTAACTCCGTTGTCTTAGTTCAAACCTCCGTTTCTTGTCGATACTTTTTAAGTATCCAGTTTACTTGGTCTAAGACGGCTACGCCTTGTATTTAGGAAACATTTTTTTCAGTGTTCACTACGCAACTCCTGCTTTCACACTTTTTGGTGTAAGTAATTTCGGTATCGTCATGTCTTGATTCTGCTGACACAAAATAAATTGAGAATTTTGAATGGATATTTGGTTTAGTAAATGATGGCGGAAGAAAAAAAAATTCTATTCATTTTTAATTTCATTTCTGTGGAGCTGACCACATTTTGAATTCATGATAAGTATTGATTTTGAATGAAATTAAACAGAGGTCAGACACGTCTTGAGAAATTACAACAACTTTTTGCGACATGAAGGTGAAATAAGATACAGAGCTGCTAAGTCGCAAACTGAGCGATAATAAGCTATAAGCTTCCTTGATTCCACCCTCATTTGTCTATGAATAGACTAAAAAAATCCATATTCCATTGTAAGGCGTTGCGAACTTCATGTTTTTCACATTTTCAAATGGTAACTATTCAACGCCAATTCTTGGTAATTTCAGTGAGTTTTCTTTTTTGTGCAAGAAGTATTCAGTTAATGGCAACGGGTAATGGCTTTCAATAATGGCTTATTTCACCTACGAAGAAGTGAAGAAGGATCGAAAATTTTAAATATTATCGTATTCATACGAGTTGCTCTAGTTAGTTATGCTATGTATTAATGTACTTTTTCCGACATATATTCACTTAGATATCCTATGTTTCTTGTTTTTCATTCATCGTCAACTTTCTTACTCTCTCGGATGATGTCCTAGGTGAAATATTTTAATGTTACGGTAGATTTTGGAACGAAAATAACTCCGGCCTCTTTCGTGGAGGAACCCACGCAACTTTACTGGCCAACGATCGAAAATCGCCTCTACACAATTATTTTTACGGGTACGCAGTCTTCCAAGCAAATAATATTCGTTATAAATGTGCCCCTCTGTGTCATCCTTCCTCTGTGGCATGATTTTGTAAATGTTCATTATTGTTTTTCTTTTTTAGAATAACTGATTCCCAAAAACTTAAAATTTTGGAAAAAAAATTGGTACTCCATGTTTTTTATGCAAGCTACACAATAGATTAGTGTCCCTCAGAATCTACGATCCAAAATTATTTCATGGGTTAGAAAGTATGACAAAAGTGAATCGTAATTCGTGAGGAAATGAACTGAGAAAAACACCTACATCTCAGGACTCATATTAGAGTGGATACAGTTTCTTTTGATTTAAATACGTCCAAGTCGGAGAAAAACATCTTATTCTCATAATTTCCATTGACGTAGACATTAGAAACATCTTGAAAGTCTTCATAATGTTGTCTCTTCTTCCTTTGTTTATAGATCCAGATGTGCCTAGTCGGCAAAATCCAGATGAAAGAGAATGGATGCATTGGATCGTGGCAAATATACCAAAGACTCACATTTCGAAGGGTGACTGCCTTGCAAGTTACATAGGACCCATTCCGCATCAGTTAGGATGTAAGTCTTGCAAAGTATCAAAAAAATTAGTCACCATTAGGCAAACGCGAATAGCACCAAATGTCTGGTCGAAAAAGGAAGAGCGATCATCCAATGCAAAAAGAAAAGCACAAACATTTTCGTAAATAAACTTTTGTTTGAATTTTCAGCACTCCTTAATTTTTGTGCATAATCTCAAAATTTTAACAAGACTCTAGTTTTCAAGTAGGTACTGTATTTCCTGTAAAATTCTTTTGGGAGCCATGATGTAATAATAAACCCCCGAAGTTTGTTTTATTAAAGGTTGATTTCCTACTGAATCCATAAACATTCAACTACAGACAATCGAAAATCAATAAAGAAATAAGTATAGGTATTCAAAACTATGGGTGATGTGAAACATCTTGTATTTATGTTTTATTTAAACATATTTTGAATATAAAAACCAAAACATAATAAAACTGAACCAGTAATCAAGCTTAAAGTAATAAAGTGCTAATAAATTAATGAAGTAATATTTAAAAAGTAAATTAATAAAGTAATAATTAATAAAGTAAGTAATAAAGTGCTTGTTAGATCTGCATTTAAAGAATAAGAAAACATAATTTAGGTATGGGCCTTTTTTTCGAAAATACATCGAGCAGTGTCAAAGCTATACAACTCATACGTCGTCGCTCCTGTGACGTTAGAGCGTATCTCGTTTTCAACGTGAGCCCTGTTCTCCATTTAACTTCATGTTTTTCAGGGCTCATGTGGAAATTAAGACACGCCCTTACGTCAGAGAAGCGACGAAGTGTATTATCGTACTCAAAAATCCTCTCTTGCAAATATATAGTGTACCTTGCCTATTTTTACATTTAATACAAGTATTTTGTCATACTTTGTTTTGTTTAGCCTGGCATCGATATGTTTTCGTCGTAATCGAACAGACGCACAAAGAGGAATTCAGGGACTGGATGTTTAAGGACAAAAGGTGGGTACATCTTACGATACGATTATGATTACCTATAATACTTTTTCACTTAAGCTTAACGGTTGACGTAAAAAAACCACTCGGCTGTTGAAAAACGCACACACACACTAACAGAGGTCAGAATTAATGATACGGTGACACTGAAAGGACATAAGACGATTTCATAAAAGCAGCTACAATCAGCTTCTCATTTCAAAATTATTGTCGGAAGAGAGTTGTTCTTACAGTAGAATGCAACTTAACTGCAAAAATGAATAAAAGGGGGGAAAAAACCGAGAAACTCACAATCTTTAGTTTTAACCCATTTGTACATCCATCTTTTAGAGTCAAACACGTCAAATTTTGATCGTTTGTTTGCGCGCACACCTCGCTGCAACACAGTAAAAGCACAAAATGTAAAAGAAAAATTAAAGTGCTTTGGAAATCATTAAATTTGACACGTAACCACCAATATTTTAAAAAATACACATTATATTTTTATTCTCCTTTGATAAATTAATATATATTTTTTCCCATCAATTTAAATGAGAATAATCAATGCAGAGTGTGCAAACATTTCAAATTCATGAGTTAAAAAACGCTGACCATGCGAGTATATAAATATTAAAACTTAACAGAGCGGAGCGCAAGCGGAGCGGCGTGCTGGCGCCTACAAACCTAAGTGGATACTTCACGCATTGCACAATGCTTGAAGTATCCACTTAGGTTTGTAGGCGCCAATGCGCGTTCCGCGCTGGCCGCCCGCCCGCCGTGCGGCGGCGCCTGAAGCAACTATTTCACAACAGAGGTGTTGCACAGTATTATACGAAATTGAACGAATTAAGAATGACAGTCTTCCTTTAAAAGTACAGATATTTCCTCGCAAAATAAATCAAATTACTCATCGCACACTGGAAAAATCTAAGAGCCTTTAGCTGAGGCAAATATAGAGGTTTATCCGGTTCAGGTATAACAAGGTGGGAATTTCTTGAAAGATGATTAGGTCCTTTTACACCAAAGAGGTGTAGAGAGTTTTAGTGAATTTTGTCTCATGGAATTGACGCTCCCCCATTTTTACCAAAACTCTCAACTATATATTATTCTCCGCTAGACCAAACAGACAAAACAAAAAACCATGCAAACCCGCATTCTTCCAAAACATTATATATTTTCATCCAAAAACGTAGTGAGCAATTTTTGTTGTTTGTATTTACATGTGTGCCAATTAACTTTGGGTCTCAACTGGCACGTGGACCAAAGCTCCCGTGCCGAAAAAACGCGTGGACGTAAATAGCTGGAAAAAACAGGTGCGCGGACAAAAAGTCGTTGACGAAATGTCCTATAACCCTACTACTACTACTACTATTACGACCACTACTACTACAACTACTACTCATACTACTATACAGCTATGTATACTGCTAATACTAATACAACTACAACCATTACTACTTACTACTACTACTATTACTACTACTACCACCCTCCTTTCTTTTTTCTCTTTTTCTTTCTCATATTTTTCACGCTCCTTTTGCCCCCCACCCTCGGATCCGCCTATGAGCGTAATTTATCAACGCTTTCTTTATTGACCATTTTCCTTTTTTTTCCAGGCCCATTAAAAAGTATAGAGCCAAATTTTCGACGAGCCACTTTATCGACAAATATAAGTTGGGAGAGGTAATAGCTGCCAACTATTTTATAAGTAGTAACGATACGTATCTAACTACAACTGAGCTAGCCTCTGCCGGTCCGATGACGGAGGTAGTCACCACTGAAGACGATGAATACGTTCTATCGAGCGACGAGTTCGAGACACCTGAGCCGAACTTTTTCGGCGTGCTCCCTGATAAATACAACCCAGACTACCAAGAACCTGAGCAGGCATCGGTTCCAGAGCACCATGAATCTCAACACCCGCACAATACGTCTGAGTATCCTTCAACGACAATTCGTCAACAAACGTCGAATCACTCGCAAACAACCAACTATTCGCAGAAGACCAGTCGCAGTCACTGGCGAACAACTCCGGCCGTTTAAGCCACCACCCGGTGGCGATTCTTAAAAGTTGGCAACACTGTTTTTCCTGCTTTTAAATGTTTGTGATGCCGCAATCACACGCTGAATTTGGCAGCTGAATGTGGAAGTCAACAGTCATCGCCCAACGGCTGAAATTTAGCACATTCGAGTTATTTTCATCCAGATGTGTATCAAATCTACTCGAATAGTTCAGACAAATTCAACATTTGTCCGATGGTTGCTGAGAGTCGTTGCTGAATTTTGCGCGTCACGCGCAAAATTCAGGCAACGCGCCGAAGACTTCCCCATTCAAGCCACATTCAGCGTGTGATTGCGGCACCAAACAATCGATTCTTGGTGAGGCAGCTTGTGTCATCCAATGTCGATATTTTTAATGGATTTAAATGAAGGTAAAATTGTGTTGCCAACTTGCAAAAGCGCAAATGCCACAAGACTCTCATCCTCTACGAGTCGAGGGAGCGATTGGGTTCTCAAAAACAAAACAAACGGGATACCTCTAATAAGAAAATTTCCACCTTTGTAGATTTGAATTATTTTGAGTTTTGCCCTCAAAGTTCCTATTTTTTTAGTAATGATAACTTTGTGGGATGCGATTATGATGCCATCTTTTCATTGCTTTCACTTTATTCAACAATATTTTGAAAAATGTTGGCAGTGTCTAACATGGGTTTAGATGGCAGCTTGCAGTGTGAGCCTAGGTGAATCTAACCCAAATCAATTTCAAAGTGTTACGCAGTGTTTGCACTAGTCGCAGCCATTCTATATAGACAGGGCCGGATTTACCTACTTGCCGCCCATGGGCCGCCTGTATTTTGCCGCCCCCTTCTCATTCGTTCTGAAACTTTAATAAAAACCATCAAGTGAACGTGCCGGAGGGGGCGGGTCGCATAAGACACGTTTACTCGTGTTGGACACATTATTTGCAAAAAAATGTGCAAAACATAAAGTGGTTTAATAATTTTAACTTCAGCTGCCGCGTCGCGCTGACCGCACTGTATTTGGCGCAATGCGTGTAGTATTCATGCACTCTTGTGGGCGCCATGCGTTCCCCGCCGACCGCTGCTGACCGCACTGTGTTTGACGCAATGCGTGAAGTATTCATGCAGTCTTGTAGGCGCTAATGTGAGTAACGCGCCGACCGCCGCGTCGAGGGCTTTTCCTTTCAATCTCAAGTCCTCCTCATCATTTCACTCTGCGCCGTGCCGTTCCAGGCCAAATTGGGTGATTGGTTTCTCTTTTAACTCGACTAATTAGAGGGGCTGCCTCTTTTATCGCCGAAAGACGACAAAATTAGAAATTACTATACTCTCAGGAGATGAGAGATTTTGTCGCCTTTTCTCGTTTGCAATTATTTTCTGGATCCGATTTTTTATACCTACGTTTAAAAAAAAGTCAAAATTTGCCGCCATGGGCCGCGGCCCATGTGGCCACCCCTAAATCCGGCCCTGATTCTAGACGTTTAGTTTGTTGTCAGTAAAGGGAATAGTACGATACACAAAGCACTTGGGCAGGATTGAAATGGGATTGAAAGAAAAAGACGCTGCTCAAAAGCTGCATTTCTATGGTAACGGTTTTATCGCATAAGCTGCGTCATGAGGAGGCAAACTTTAACAGGATCAGAAAAATTCATCAGCAGTGGAATTAAGTTCGGATGAGAAGAACTACAATAAAAAAAACTATAAACGTCCTAGCAAAGAAAATGTTTAGAATGTTATTTATTTCATCCTCTCATTTATATTTGAAAGCGTTAAAAGGGTTATTATCAAATAGTTAGAATTAAATTCTGAGAATCTCGTCGGCCATGTTATGTTGAGTTGATGACCCATTTATTCGCTTGAGTGCTCGACCATAGAAAAACTCGAGTGGCAAGACGAAAACAAGAAGCGCCTACCTATGCGGCTCAGCGCATAAAATAAATTAAAAGAGGAAAGCGTTGCGTTGTAAAATTTTTACAAATTGACGGGCTGGGAAAAAAGACTTTATTCTAAACACGTTTTTTGAAACGTTATATCCTGAATTTAAATGTTTCAAAATCATCAGCTAGCACGGATTGCATTGATCTTGTGAAGCTTGTGAACGCGCATTCACTGTTCCCTGATTTTTATTCAACTTTGAACGGATTATTTGAATACTTGTGTCCAGTTATAAAACTTATGTACCTTTTAGCTAAATTTACGATGATAATATTGAGGGCACTTATGATGCTTTAGAAAACTTAGAACAAAAGCATAAACCTGAATGTGATAATATAGCTATATTCTTGCGGCGCGCTCTTCCAACATTCGGTGTTGGAGTTCCCTGTTTATTGTTCCTTCTTATTTCTTTTTGCTTTTCTTTTTTGATCAAAAAAATTCTGACTAACTGACAATGAGTGCCGTTAAATATGGACTTCCGTCTTGTTACTAATGTTGATATGTTATGTAAGGGCTCCTTTACTTTTATCACATTTCTAAAAGCCACAGTGAAATAGACAGGTACAATGTTTAAAACTCTACTCCCATTCCTCTTTCAAATCTGACAAAATTATTCATTTGATTGTAGAACATTAGTCTTTGTTTGTATTCCACATTCTTGTTTGTTTCTAGTTAGAGAAATAAATATTCAAAGTGCTTCTAATATGCTGATCATGCAGTGAACAACCAAAAATAGATTTTAAGATACATCTCTGCTTACTCAAGTCCTGTAAGGTATATTGACGGTTACTTTTTTTATAGAAATGTAAAAATACAAATTCTTTTCATCCCGTGCAATTTAAAATTTACGCATGATTCCGATTTTGAATTCTTTTGTTCAACACGTTATTATACCTGAAATATTACACAATTAACATGAAAATATTGTTATACTGCCCAAAACTTTCGCCATTCTTTATTCCGGTTTAGACCACTACTTTTTGCATCAAAGAGGAAACATTGGATGGGGTGAGGGGGTTGTCACAATGCTCACCCTCTTCAACAAGGGTAGGGTAGAGAGAAAGCAGTTTTAATGGCATATTGCTTTTTCTGCGGCTGTTAAATCGATACAAATAGCATTAAATATCAAAAATAGTTAATAAAACTGGTGTAAAAAGCAAACGCATTCTATTCAATCATCGCTTCAAAATGATGACCAATCAAAGCTTCTTAAATCTCAACTTGATGATAAACAGCAATTTACAATACCTGCCTATTTGTCTATTCATGTTTATATACTTTCGGAACTAACTTATCTGTTAAAGATACTTTACCTTAATCTAGTAACGGATAGCTTAATGGCGGTTGTTAAAGTGACCGTCTTGAAGTGATGCATCATTGAACAGGAAATAAAATCAACTTCATATCAGAAACCGAGGATCCCTAAAAGCTATTATTGAGGATACAATACAGTTAAAAAACTTTTATCTGATCGCCATTTTGAAGTCGTGACAAACCAGTACTTGCAATGTGTGTCATATATCATTGTTTGTCAATGCACACATTGATGACTGCACAACCTAAGACTGGTCTTTGAAAACATACATACATGAGTCGCTTTTATAGCGCTTTTTGGTGCTGTGCCTAATCGCCACAAAACTCGGTCTCCCCACAGGTCATCAGGGAGTTAACACTCCCTCATCTTATTCAATACCCCATGTCACCACCCTCTCACTGGGCGTCCCCTTCGTCTCCACCCAGGAGGAACCCAATCAAGTCTTTGAAAAATGCATTGAGATAAACATACTTTAGAATTTCACTTACTTACATTAAAAATTATATTAAAATGGGAGATTTTAAGACCTGCATTTTATGAATACTGCAAGGAAAACTAAAGAAGATCAAATAATAAAAATGAGAATTTTGATAGGCTCATTATTCTATCCGTATGTTAATTTTATGATTTCCGCTTTCGATTGAATTACAGGTAAAATGTTATTGGAGGAAATGATTTATCAGCGTCACAAAATACCTTTCCTAGAATACACTTTAATCGCTTTTCTGAACGTTTTGGTGCCAATTCTCAATCGAGTTGGAGCGAACGATGTCGCATTAGCATCAGAAGACGTTCGAAAAAAATTTGAGGACGCCAAAATTGTTCCCGAATTGATTCCTGTAGCTCCAAAATATGCATTAGAGGCAAGTTTTCTGAACAATACTATTTTTAAACATTTTCAGAAAAAACATGAACAGTAGCGACAGTAAAACTGCAAAAAAAAGAAAAAGAAGAAGAAGAAAAAAAAAGTCGGTTGCGATGCTCCAAAATCTCCGCTCCTAACTAATATCATACGGCGAAATTTTCATAGAATACTCTTCACGTATATAGAGGAAAAATTACCAAAGTTATAAAAAAAGCGCTTTGATATAGTTCTCCGTGTAGAAAACAAAGTATGAAAGGAAGTTCGCAACGTTGCAAGGAGAGATACACTTGTCTGCAGTGTCAAAATTGATATGCATGCTAACGTGAAGATCATTTGTGTAACTACGTTTCAAGATCGCAACAAAGCGCATCGGCATAGTGCAGGTGTGATAGGTAATTGCCTTTGCAGGCACGACCTCGGGTTGAAGCGCCTTCATATTTTTTGATACTTCACGCATTGTCACGGAGTTAGTTTAGTTGCATGTCCGATCCGAACCCAACCTTTGACCGCTGGTTTCACTGCACGCTATTCAAAGTGTACATGTTACTGTCATGATTACGCAGAAAGAAAGGTGTATTTGCTATGGCGGGAAAATAATCAGTAATATCAACTCCTTCCTTTTTTTCAGTATTGTATGATTTTTTATTCATTCACTTGTGGCTTGCAAATGCAAGCGATTGCAAGTTGCACATCGTCGCCCCTCTAATGTAAGGGCGTATCTTGAAATCCACGTGAGACCTGTTTCACGTATAAATCCATGCTTGCTGGGGCTCATGCGGCAATCCGCAGACGTCCGTACTTCAGAGTAACGACGCGATACATATAAAACATTCAAATGAGAACAACTTTAAACTGGTGAAGTTCCTCCAATTTGTTATATATAAATATTGTGACAGGTATAACGCCTGCAATTACACCACCAAGCCGCGTAAGTACGTTCTTTTATACGCCTTTGCAACGATAAAATCTCTGATTTTAATATTTTATATTTAAGTTGTAGGTTCTTTATAAAAACAACACTGTCAAATTCGGGAATGAGTTCCATCGGGGGGACTTTGAAACCGCGCCCACAAATCTGCAATGGCCGACTGAGAAGGGTCAATACTACACACTGATTTTCACAGGTAGTTTATTTTTTCTTTACCGAGAAAATTATGCGAATGGCATACAGAAAAAAGGGCTATGTACTCTGATAATTTGACGGAAAAGTCATTAATGATTTGGTCTTTATGCTAATTTGGCTCGACACAATGTATTTTTGTCTCTCTTCGTTTTTCGTGGGAGAAAATCGTACAAAATAAACACACCGGATACACCCTATGCCGAAAGTCTAGTTAATCAAATGCAGTAGATGGAAACACCTATTCATTATATTTCCAGCTTAGACTTTAAATTTTAATTTTTTAGATGTTAAATTCGTTTCATTGGAAATTCCAACAACTTGAAAAAGGTCACTTTTCTGATTTTTTTGGATCGATTTTTATTGACACATTTGTTAGTTTTTAGCTGAATCACTAAATACAAAAAGAGCACATGTCCAGAAAACCAAATTGTTCCGGAGACACAAAAAACTGTTTATTTCGTGGTAGATATTTTTTAAACATAACGACTTTCCAAAAAATATCTACCACGAAATAAACAGTTTTTTGTGTCTTCTGAACAATTTGGTTTTCTGGACATGTGCCCTTTTTGTATTTAGTGATTCAGCTAGTATGCTTACGCTATTTATTTCCTGGGATGAGTAAAAAATTACTTTAGTAAAATTTCATCGAGCGCAACGTCGCAAAAGCCATTAGAGTAATAAGGGTTTCTCGATACCTATATTTTGCCTTCTACTAACGCGATTACAGTGCCACTTTGCGTACTTGCTCAGAAAATTCCATACAAAGTGATCGCATAATCCAGATGTGATATCATATTTCTTTTGTTTAGATCCAGACTGTTCCAATTCAGATCGCCCCGTGCCAATTGATAAAGAATGGCACCATTGGTTGGTAGTCAATATTCCTGGATGTGAAGTCTATAAAGGGGAGGTTCTCTCGGCGTATTTTGGTGGGCTACCTTTTTACTTACAATGTGAGTCCCAGGTGGTATTTTATGAATTTCTGTTTCTCCAGCCGATTAACTCAAATAAGTGAGGAAGTATAAAAATAAGTCAAGTTAAGGAAGTAAAATTAAATTAAAATAAGGAAGACTCCCAGCCTAACGTGGGCGTAGGAGATCCACTTACGGCCTCAACTTTCAAAGCTTTTTTTAAACTTTGGAGTACGTATTAGAGAAAACCAATGCACCGTTGTGTTTCCAACGGAATTTTACCAAAATAAATGTACTTAAATCGCAAATCTCTCCGTATGCAATAGCTTTATTACATAGTCTTATTAAATCCTCTTCATATGTTTTACAGATCCACATAGGTACGTCTTTTTAGCATATATACAGCCTGATGCAGCACCCATTGTTTTTGACGAGCCTCGGCTTGACGACATGTAAGTATCCTTCTCTTCTCCAATCAAATTGATCTTCCCGATATACTCTCATCCAGTACCCCACCCCCTTCCGTCAATCCAAATATCAAAAGTATACTTCAAAATCCCTAAAATTATTTATAAATCGAGACTATAATATCTGAAGTAATTCATGATACCTGACCTTTCAAAATTGTTTGAGGGTTTCGTGTTTTTAGTGTTCACCAGTGCAAACTAGTTGTTAGAATTGGACCTCATTCTGTAAGCAGGAACTATAATTTCTGGCTCATTCGCAAAATCACTTATGTGCATAGGGAAACTAATGGTGCATACGTTGTTTCTAAGCTGAGCTAAGTATTGTAGTTCCCAATTTTAAAATGTAGTACAATTGAAGCTTATTGAAATGTTAACAAAATCAACTCACATTCAGATTTACAAAGATCAGTTTGATGGAGCAATTTGTGTCATTTATTCATCGTTTCTCAACATAGTAAAGATGTATATACCATCCTGACGTGACATGCTTTGCGATAGATCGATTGATCTACCATTTAAACCTATGGAAAAATATCGATAAATCGGGTGTTTGCAACGAACACCTGAATTATCGATTCTTTACCACAGTTTCAAATGGGAAAATATCGATAATCGATCATTCACGCATCGGCACTAATACCACCCCGCATTGAATTTAGAGTTAATGGACATGTAACACAACGGATACCACCGATCTGAATAGTAACTCAAAATGTTTTGTAACTTTTAGAAATAACTCATTTTGCTAAATATCAAACAAAATTAAGCAATGTGTTGCATTATTGTTCGTTGACAGAAAATTCATGTTTCGAAAAATTATTTCCTCGTGTTTGGATGCGGTAGAATAACTCAATACAACACTTAGTGCAGCACTTAAATATTATTAAATACTAGGGGGCCCTGCCCCCTGACCGCTACGCTGTCCAACCCCCGGGAGGGCGACTCGCGCCCTCAGGCCCGCTTCGCGGGCCTTATACGCATATGTATCGGCAAAAATGTTCTTCCATTTTAATACACCATTTTGTGTTCGAGCTGCATCGATTTCAAAATTTTTGACGTAACACTCCTGATTTGTAAATGATGAGGAATAGCTGGATGTACAAAATTTCACAGTATACTTACTGGAGAAATTTCCATTTATTATGTTATGTTTAAATTCTTAATTTAAAAAAAAAAACGGATTTTGCCCGTATGAGTTAATAATATTTGGTCCGTCCCGACGCGACGCAGCGCCTGCCTTCTCACTTTGTATCTGCTGTTTATCTGCTGTAAATATTAATAGAAATTCAGCAATTAAGTAAATTGACCAATACCACAAATCGAAGCCGGAAGAATGCAGGAAAAATTGAGTTAAACCTTATACCTTGGACCTTGGACCTTGAACCTTGAACCCTGAGCGATGCACCGTTCCTCAACTCTTCGAATGAGGAGCCCTTCACGAGCTTTTCCATTGTTCTATTGTTTATTCGAGTCACTCAGGTAGAATCCCACACCTTGACGTTTCTAGCGGAAACGACATATCTCTCACGCTATTAAAATTGGATTTAAGTGACATGAGCTTTAAAAGCTCTACAACATTAAAAGTTCGGGGTTTCATAATTTTTTGCACATCTACATGTACTACAGATGACATACATGTAAAGATCATCCTTATCGGTCCAGCAGTTCGTCAGAAATAGTGCTTCCAAGATTTTGCTTGTAGCTGTATAATATAGATTCTTCTAATTCTTCTATATCTATCTCTCTCTTACTAATGGATATTGTATACATATATTCTTCTATCTATTTCTCTCTCTCTCTTTTACCAAGTCATTCGGCACATTTTTACCGAGCCCGCCCTTCCGCTCATTTTCAGGCCTATCGAGGATAGACGATACAATTTTTCAACGAGGAACTTTACAAAAAAGTACGACCTCGGCAATCCCATCGCGGGGAACTTCTTCGTCGCTGGAGGCCCGGCGCCGACACCAGAGTTGCCGTTGGTCCTACAACGAATGTTAACGACGACAAAGAAACGGCCACGATTCAACGCAACGACACGACGTACACCGAAAAAGTAGACCTCAATGCGACTGTGAGACGTAGAATAGGAGAAATTAAGACGCTGTGTCGTCAAGTCAAATTCTGACCAGATTCATACTTACTTGTCATAAGCCAAGACATTAAGACATTAAGGTGATTCGATGAACGTCATATTTTGTGTCAGAACGGCATGCGATATATCGCATCAATTGGTTCCATTTTTTCAGCTACTCGTCATTTTTCTCCAATTTTGAGATCGCAATTCTGTTGTCCGGAGACTAAAGCACTCACTTACGAATTTTAACAAAGAAATTCAACGTAATAAAGGCGTGGTTTTTTTACAGAGAAAATATCGCATTCGAATGCAGTTTCGATATCAGTATCGAATGCGATGTTTTCTCTGTAAAAAAACCACGCCTTTATTACGTTGAATTTCTTTGTTAAAATTCGTAAGTGAGTGCTTTAGTCTCCGGACAACAGAATTGCGATCTCAAAATTGGAGAAAAATGACGAGTAGCTGAAAAAATGGAACCAATTGATGCAATATATCGCATGCCGTTCTGACACAAAATATGGCGTCCATCGAATCACCTTAAGCGAAAACTTCCTTTACAAGTGTGCACAATGGACTGATTCATTCCCTTTTTTCATGCAGTTACCCTGTTTGTATTTTTGATAATTGAACATTTCGAAGCACTGCAATAAAGGGGGCACTTGCATGTACTTAGGTAGTGTCACAACCTGTTTGGCCGGCAGTGTAATTTCAGCTGCTTTCAATGCAAAAATAAGTACAGCTCGGCTCCATAAAGTAAGGTCAAGAGAGATTTTACAAAATCGGAGGTTACTCGCTCGAAGAAAGCAATTGGGAATTCAATTGAAAAGGAGAGAACAGTATGCAAATGGTTGGTAAAATGTCAAAAAATGTCCCTTCAAAAAATGTCAAAATTTCCATGACGATGAACGAGAGGTAGAAGCGCCCCTGGGAGAATTTGGAGGTCATGGTCACGATGAAGCATTTCACAAAGGCGAAAGTGAAGTGGCAGATGAACTGAAAGCTAGAGTCAGAGTGTCCTGCTGGGTGCTGACCAATTCGAAGAATCATAAAGTCAAAGCTCAGCATGCCAAGGCTACTTGGGGAAGACGCTGTAATTCATCGTCAATTTCAGACCCCCGTCAATAATCCCGTTTTTACGTGATTGTGAATAGTTTCTTCATGTTTGTAGATAATACCTGTTTCAATAAAATATTTATTATTTTAAGTCCAAACCTCCATCTCTTATTATTCAAAATGACACCATACTCATTGACGTTAAACTGAAGCCCAGTATTACATTCTTATTGGCATACATTTTAAGGAACGTTGTTTTTTTGTCACCTCAGCCATTCAACGTTTCAAGTTTTCAATAGGAACACAATTTTAAAGAGATCACGGTTAATTCATTGAGGCAGATTTTAATTTTAAAAAGCATAGTGCGACAAGCGCATCACTGTGAGCGCACGGAATATCGCGCGGTCCGTCTTCAATTTTTTGAAATAAGTAGAGCCATAGAACACGATTAGTGGCATTAAGGCGTTAAGTGATTGAACATATACTGCATTTGTTGGTTTTTTCTTCTTTTTTTTCTTGCCTGTAGCGTAGCTCGATGTAGCGTCTTTTTCCCCAGTTAATGTCAAATATGATAAGGGCAAACGAGACACAAATACCATCCGACTCATTAGGCAAACAATTATTCAGATTCATGTTTACTTACTTACAAGTTTGACGTGATTTTCTGAAAAGAGGTCAACAGATAATTTAGATGTCTACTATAAAAACATTAAATTAATGAATAGAGATTTGAAGCGATAACGTTATATTATCCAGAAAAACGTGCTCCAGATTGGGCCACGAAATGAGAATGAAGACTCGCGTTATGACACATTTTCGATCTGCTGTGTGCGGAAGTAAGAGTGTTTTGCACCTCATCAACGACTCTGGGTCATTTAAAGAGATAATCGTGCCCTCACTTAAATTTAAGAATTCTTATACCTATTCCCCAAAGAATATATTTCAAGAGCTTTAACACAATTTTTAAAACTGCTTCTCTACTTATTGTTACGATATATCTTGTGAAAGTTCAAAAAATTTGACTAACCTCTCAATTTGCTCGTTTACATAATGGCCTATGCTCGAAATCAATTCCTTTCACTGATGTTCAGTGTTATACTTAAACCTGTTCGCGTTTTGGAGAACCAGAAATACGAGTACGATCAAAATTCCTTGAAGATGGCCGAAATTATTCCCGACGTCATTGACTTTGCACCGGAAAAAGCAATCAAGGTAATGTTATCTAAAGATATGATTTCCCCGTATAAAATGAATAAGTAAATCGATGTTTCACAAACATGTAACTATTAATGCGACAATTGAACTTTTCGTTCATAAGTATGCTCTTAATTATCAAAACAGTGTGAAAAGAAGACTTGCTGTATTGCAGACTGTGACTAGGGTACAGACTGTGACTAGGGTACAGACTGTGACTGGGAGAATACCTTGGCCTGCAGTGAGCAAAGTCGAATGATTATTGAACATTATCTGAAATTTAGATTGATGAATTTGGAAAAAGTGGGTTTGCCGCACGCAAGATATAGAGTCAATTAAATAGACTTTCTAGGGTCGCAACCTATAAGGATCTATTTTGAACACGTATTGAAAGATTGAAAGAGGAAATGTACAAGTATAGGCATCCCCCTAGAAGATGGTGGCTAACACTTTGCTGATGATCGAGTGGTTGTAGCGCAGGATAAACAGGTTGCACATTACATAACCCGTTAATCAGTCAGAGGATATCGAATTTGGGGCCTGGAAATCAGAGAAAAACTTAAACATTGGTTATTGGGGATGACAAGCAGATTATGGTAGGAGGATGCCTGGTACATCAAAGGGGGTGAAGAGTATATAAATACCTAGGAGTTTGGCTGGCCCAGGATTTTTCAGAATTTTGCTCTCTTTCACAAACGACTATAGCCCTGTTTGTCAGACCATGCAGTACCGAGTACATTAAATGATAAATATTATAAAACGAAAAAAAATCGGTAAATTTAAAGGACTCGTCAAATCAATAAAAAACAGCAGTGAAATATTAAATCATTTTCAGGAAAAAATATCCGGCTTTGTGTTCATTTCCTACGCAGTCGCGTTGGTTTTTCAACCCCAAATGATCAAAATTTCTCAATTTACCCAACGTGATCTTTGTGCGATATCACATATGGAAGTTCTATTCACTTAAGTCTATCAAGTTTATTCTTTTGCGTGAAGTAGGCCTATTCTTAACTATAGTGTGTGAGTGGTATTTAAGAGGAAGACAATTTCTCAACATTATTTTAGAATTTTTAACATACGCCTGAAAAATATGTTGACCCTTTAGCAATTGAACTCTCGTAACAAAATCTTGGAAGAAAGGGTAGAGGCATAAATTCCGAGCTGTAAGGAATGCGAATTCGATTATCATTGCGAATAATTTTCCTTTTTACTGATTTGACGTATTATGTTTTTAATTTCACGATTAATTTTATGTTTTACAGGTAATATATCCCAACAATGTGGTCGTCAATTTTGGAAATAATTTAAGTCAAAGTGACATCAGTGCAGCACCATCTACAGTTGAATGGTCTGCTGTTGGGACCTCTTTGTACACTTTAATAATGACAGGTATGGCTTAAAAATATATTCTCATGTATTACCAGTGATTGTCAACAGGAAATCAGACCTAGCACCACATAGACAAAATAATATTCCTTAGGTCCTTAGGGTTTGAGATGTTGATGGAAAGCTTTCTCTGGTGTCCTAGAGACTAAATCAAAAGATGCATATATAATTTTTGTGCGAAGGCAATTTAAAGTCACATTACGATACTGAAAATGACTGATTTTAACTCTAAATAGGTTTCCCTCAAAACTACGTTTTCGGAGCATCTAAATGGTACTTTTACAGAAAAAAAATGTCTAATTAATTTTGCTAAAATGTTTTATGCTTTTTAATCACTATAATCAAGAACTCATTCTTTAAAATTCTACGTTTTTTTATTATTTCCGCAAAAATTGGACGTCTCTTTAGAATTGACGATATTTATGTATGATATTTTCAGTTTAGATCCGGATGTTCCTTGTCGGAAGCACCCGACGCAGCGAGAATGGGTACATTGGTTGATATCTAACATTCCGGGAAACGAATGGAAGAAGGGGTCGACCGTTTGCCGTTATATCAATCCACCGAAAGCAGTAGGTAAGTTATTAGAACCCTTGTGTTTTTCTTAAAGAGCAGTATTTTAAGCCTCAAATAAGTTATCGTTCCCGCAAAAAAACCGAAGTCCTTGGAAATTCTCTTCAAGAAGAGAGAGAGAGGGCAGGGAGAGAGAGAGAAAGAGGGCTAGAGAGGGAGGGAGGGAGAGAGAGAGAGGAATGATGAGTGAGATTAGAAGTAATTCCCGACTCAATGAAAGAAAAAACGCCTTCAATTGAGAATGATACTGTGCAACACAGGGAAGCTCGAATAGTTGTATCATTCCATTATTTACGACATTCCGATGGGTAGAGTCCGAATTCACCCTGGAGGAGAAAGAGATGGAAGAAAGGGGGTAGAGAGGGGGAGGCAGGAGAGAGAGTGGGAGGGCGGGGGGAGGGATGGAGAGAGAGAGAGAGAGAAAACACGGTCAGAAAGAACACTGAATGTTGCAAGGTGATGCAAAGATACTGTTTCTGTAAAGTAATTTTAAAATATATTAATGACAGGAGTTTTAAGAATAAGGTAGAAACACCTTATGGGCGACTTAAGATAGTATACCTCGCCTGTTCTATGAAATGAAAAGTCATGTTTAAAGTTTTTTCACTGTTGTTGTTATTTTCAGACGGCACAAGATACGTTTTCTTAGTTTATCTACAGCCAAACAACCAACCTCTTCAGTACGAAGACATGGAGAAAGAAGGCAGGTATGATGGACATTTTCCTTGTCATTATTAATTAATGTCTTTTTTGGCAATAAGTCTTTTGTCTTCCATCTGCTTCACTTAATACTGTCAAGACAGCAATGTGACTATACATACACAATCTCCTTAATTTGAGATGTTTAATTTTTCCTCTATTGATTTTCTTGCGTTCATCAGAGAGATAAAGGTTTACTTTTACATTTCTGCTCATTTTCGCGTTCTGTGACAAATTTTATTCTTAGTATTTTTATATAAATTACTTTCTTCATTTTTAACACAGTTTGCACCGGCTTTCTTTCTCTGTTCGGGAATTTTCAAAGAAGTATTCTTTGGGAGAACCGATAGCCGTGAATTTCTTCGAAATTCCATACAATGACGCGGAAAAAATGGAGGAAAGGAAAAGGAATGAGCAGATCCGACATAACAGAAAACATCCACCAACCAGAACAACTACGCCTACAACTACCACGGAGTCTTACTTGCATTTAAATAATCCTCATGCTAGTTGGTAAAATATTGGAAGAATGCGAGATATCCCCTGCAAAATTAAACAATTGAAAGACATAATGTTTGGCCCCTTTTTTCTGTAAGCTCTGACCACAGAGACGTCTATCATTCCTCAGTTATTATTTTTAGTGTCAAAATTTGTTCTGGTAGTTTTGGATCCTGCAATCCTCATGGTGATGTTGTATGACAATGATGTTAGCATGTAGTGAGTCCCACGAATTTTTATGGAAAATTGTGTTTTGGACTGCCGGACAATTTTATCATGCGTGTCCAAGAGGGACTCATTGACTAGGTAATTATTTTGGACAATTATGATCAATACAATCATATTTCTCTCTAATGTTAAAATGTCCTCTCGTCGATAACACTGTTTGAATAGAGTCTGTTCCACGCAAGAAATGCAGCCAAATTAATGTACTCTTCACGGGTAAAATCGCACGTCCACATAACCGAAAGAAATAGTTTGTGTAACAGTGTGTTCTACTTTTCATATTGACACAAAATGTTGATTACTTTCTCTCACTGGTTGGCTTTTTGTCACAGGCCGAGACTTTCTACGAGACTTTTGTTTATTATTGACGTCGTGCTACTCAGGTAGTGAACTATGTTGCTATAAGTTGTGAGAATTAGATTACAAATGAAACATGTAGTTCCAAAATTTGCTGAGAGAATGTTTTCATTTTTTAAAAGAATAATGCAGTCACGAGAATTGTCCAAAACTAAAGTGCAAGCACGAGCAATGAATGGCCGAAGGATTTTTGACGTCCTGTGGGAAACTGCACAATGGCAATATTCTAAAATCTCATTATATTGTTACATGTTATTTTAAAAAAAAATAGTTGTTTTTTATTTGTACTCCTTCTTTTTGCCATTTCCTCCTTTCTTTGACTCGCTACTAATTTTCAGTCTACTGCATTTGGTAACTGTGGGAAGTTTTTGCGGAGAATTAAAAAAAATCAACATGGATTCAGTTTCCGATTTAACTGATTCACCGATGATACTTTTCAATTCAATCAAATTTTGCCTTAAATTAAATCAGTATATTTAGTTTGTTGCTACGCAGGAGGTGATCCAGCTAGATCTACTTGAGGCCGAGAGCAAAATTTGTTTTCCATCGTGGTCTCTCCAGCTTTGCCTCAAAATGATTCAAAATTAAGCTTAAGAGACCATCGATATCATTTCGGGAAGTCACATTGTCTAGAAATCACATTTTCCACTTCATGAAAGTAACATGAGAACGAAGCCTGAAGCAGAGTTATATGAAAGCAAAAGTACTTGCAACAATTTTCAGTGGCGTTGCATTGTAAGTCATCATTGCTCAGTATTCGGCGTCATTGAGTTTGGCAAACTATCAATATTGACAGTTTCATATGGGCGTATTTCTGTCAAACGGACCTAAGCGCTATAGGGTGAGGAAGGTAGAGGGGGCTTAGATTGGCGGCGGAACCGAGCGTCGGGGTCATCCCGTCCTATGCTCTCAATGCTTTTCCATGGCGCTTGGTTCCGTTTGACAGAACGCGCTATCCGGCATTCTAAATTCCTCAAAAGGAACTCAAATTGGCGCTTAGTTCCATTTGACAGAAATACGTCCATATGTCCAATATTTCAAGACCCTTCATATGCACAGATAAGGATGGGTATGGAGTTAAATTAAGCACCTTTTAATTAGGGTAAAAACTCTTTTTAAAGTAGCCAAAAATTGATAAAAATCCCAAAACTCCTCATGCGAGAGTCATGATCTTGAATTCAAGCCCAAAAATGAAAAGGATGGTGAGAACTACGTGATGAAAACTTAATGTGATTACAGGAAGAGCAAAATTGTACGCGAAATTGGAGATGATGGAATAAGCGATTTTTCAGAAATGTAGAGGGCCGTAGCTCTGATGGAAAGAGTTTTGGGATACAGTTTTAAGCACAAAATGTATGGTTTTGATCAAGAATCAAACTGTAAGCTATTGTCCATTGACCCTGGGACACATTGACTGTACAAAACCACCAAATCCCACTGTTGCAATCCTTTAAGGAGCTACATGGTCTCACAAAAAATTTAGATAACATGCAAAATATCGAATTTGAGGAAAATGAGAGGGAAATAAAAAAGTGCGTATATTTGTACATTATTCAGGTACTACAACTAAAAAAATTCAATATCACAAATCGGCGTTTACGTTACATCGATGAGATAAACGCATTGGTATTGTATACGAGTATATGCACGCACATGTTCATAAGATGAATTAATTGGGACACTCTGTATGGATAATCTCGTACTCTTTAATGACGTTAAAGTTACATCAAGTGCTTTTTGAGATTCTTTGACTCTCTCCCCATGCTTGACAGGCATCTGTAGAACAGCTAAATATTTTGTCATGAATGAGCACATCTCTTCCCCCGCCCCCAACGGCCATAAGACGACCTCCTGCAAAACACTTTACGTCACTAGTCAAGCCTCGCTAGACTTCTGTCTCCTATGAAAGTCTGACACAATTTAGAGACGTCTTGAGTCATTTAAGCTTTATCAAAAATGGTTTTAATACTTCCGGGTTTTCAACGTTGAGCCTTATCGTTAAAAAACAAACCTACTTTGTCATGTTAAGGAAGAACGTCTTACGAGCCTTCAGACGTTGCCATATTTCCTTTGATAAAAAGCAAATTTACTAGGAAAATTTTAAAGATTTTCCTTCAAATTTTTAAGACATTTTTGTTTCTGATTAACTAAAAAAGTTCTGAAAATTTTACGGCAAAATATGCGTAACTCTCCACAAAAATATATTTTACATCCGGGGAAATTTGGCAGATCTAGAATTTTCATACGGCGTTCTTCATCCGTAAAGCCGCACTAATATGTTCTCATCTAGTCTCTCTCCGTTTATGGCTTCCATCCCACACACGAAGTAGAGGCTTCAAAGGGGCTCATCGATTCCCCAAATTGCACCGCTGGCCAATAAGAGAGCCAAGAATGGCATCGATGAGCATCTTTGAAGCCTTCAGTTTGTGCATGAGACGGGTGCTTATAATTAAAGCTTGTTACAGGCACGGTTATAAATCGGATTGGAACACGGTGTAACCTACTTAACACGAATATATGGGATTATTAACGGGTTGAGTGAATAAAGACAATTTTTATTTCAATGAGAAACTTTGGAAGTGTATTTAATTTATAGATTAAAAAAGAAAATTAAAATTCGATTTCCCTAAAAATGAATTTCGGGTGGCCATCCGCGATATTTTTGTGCCGAGTTTTTTTCTATTAACATAAAGATAACATGAATAAAAAAAATGAGGATTAGCTCTCACAAAAGTGTCTTTTATTCATTGAATAGTTTATCCTGTGATCACTGATTCGACGAAAGTAAGTCTCTATTTAAAAAAAAAAATTATTTTGAAACGTAGTTTTCGAGGATTGCAGCTTAAAAATTAAGGTCATTTTTATCAAGCAATATTATAAAAAAGTAAAAAAGAAGAAACTCAAGGGTTTCTCAGAGATTTTAGAAAAATGGCTGAAATTATTTGGTCTCTAAAAATTACGTAAAAAAGGGGTTTCTGTTTTTCTGTTTCGTAGCTTTTTAAGTACGCCCAGAAAAAAGCAAATGAGCTGCATACATTGACGATTTTAATTTGAATATCCATCAGTGGGGGCAAAACTTTTTTGATTCCACCCGATTTTAATATTGCTCAATTTAGGATTTCAAAATCCTCCTAACAGAAAATTTGCGAATTACTAAAAATTCAGTTTTAAAACCAAAATCTTCGATATCCTTTTCTATCATTATCGATTGTAATTCAAATATTCTCACATTATTTTTGCAACTTTCAAGAGTAGTCACATCTTGTAATTGGATTACACTGAAAAAAAAAGTTCGGTAAATCCGAACTAGTTAGGATCATACGGAACCACGATTTTGTTCGGTACACACAACCGAATTATTCGGACTGCTCAGCCGAACTGTTCGGTCTACTGAACCGAACTGTAAGAATTAAGTATGGTTCGGTCGCACAAACCGAACAATTCGGTTGAACAGGCCGAATAATTCGGTTGTGTGTACCGAAGAAAACCTGGCTCCATATGATCCTGAGTAGTTCGGATTTAGCGAACTTTTTTTTCCGTGAGAGAACTCATACTCTATTTTATTCGCGAATTTATTTCGTTCAGGCACGCATTTCATTGGCATAAAAACGCTTATGAAGTTCTCATTGTTTCATGGATCATGCTTCATTGTGCCTATCACATTGTTATATTGCTATATCAAGGAGTCCTCATCCGATATGAAAATGGGAGCAATGCGAATGAAAACTGTTTTAAAAAGCAGCGGCATCGTTCCAGATGTTATCGACGTATTTCCTAAAAAAATACTTCAAGTAAGCATGGTTTTCCTTATTTTATGAGTCGTTGTTTACAATATTATCGGGACGCTTGATCGGTACGTAGATCAGCAACGTTCACCAGAAAAGTGCGAGTGAGTGCGAAAATCGTTTGCTGCCTACCTAATACCTAAGTCTAATCCCAGGACGGGGTTCAATGTTCACAAAAATAAAGAACTCGGTAAATGAATCTCAAGCAAGCAAACATTTTAGACGAAAACTGGACCCTATTTCGCATTTTTAACTGCAATTCCTGACTTAGTTTAGAAACAACTTGTGCGCCATAGTTTTCCAATGCGCTTAAGTTCGTCGTGGCTCCCAGAAGGGAACGTAACTAGATTTCTACGCTCCAAAACTTCCACTCGCGAATTTTATTTTGACTAAAAGCGTTACTATCTGAAAACACTAATTTCTCGTCTGTCTACATCCGCAAATCAGTAGAATTGTGTAAAATAATTGCGCAATGATTTACTCTTAAAAATTAAATTTTTTAGTCAATTTTGCAACCTTGGAACAGATTTACGTTCCCTTGTCAGGAAAACGACGAGTATCACAAGCGCCAAGATTAGATAATCAAGATCCTAATCAATTTTTACAAACTCTAAAAATTAAATTATAATGTAAAGCGATAATAATTAAAAGACTTGCTGTTCCATAAATGTACATTTCTCTTTAATAGGTGAGCAGAATACGTAATTAGTTCTCTGGTTCTTTTTGTGGATAGGTTGAATATGAAAACCAAAGAGAAGTGGCAATGGGTAATAATATGACACGTTGGGACACAATTGAAGATCCTGTGAAAATCTCATACACGGCAGATCCAAAGTCCTATTATACAATTATCATGACAGGTAAGAAGAAAAAATAAATCAACAATAAAGATTAAAACTGAAGTAGAAAAAAAGAATACGTGCAATTGCTCTTTCAAGATGTTACTCGTCATACTATTCATAAGCATGCTTGTATTTAAAAATAATTCTGGGCGTTAATGTTGCCCATGCGAAAAATAGACTTTCTAAATAAAATTCAGTAGCAGTAAACTGACTCTCATGAGATAAAAAAACTAAACATTTCTGGGGCCAGTGCCGTCTCAAAATATTTTCAAACAAGTTCTGCCTGCCTGTTCGTCCAGAAAAACTGATGTTTTTACTCCTTGTTGATTTTGAGCCACTATAAAAATTTCGAGCAAAATATCAAATATGAACCTTCATTTTCTCTCTTATAAAATAGACCCAGATTGTCCATCTAGAGAAAATCCAATTCACCGAGAGTGGCAACACTGGGTACTGGTTAATATTCCTGGAGCGGAGTGGACTCAGGGATTTTACCTCACAGACTACATAGGAATTTTAGGTGAATATGAGTACGGTAAGCATTCTCTGTTTACATTAATAAAGCACAGAGGGTTTTCGGTGATAAATTTTCATCGCTTAATATGATAATTTCATAAAAATTATATAAAAATAATAAAGGCAAGAATATTGAATCGGGAAAATGTTGATCAATAAGAAACAATGCAAAAAAACATACTTTTTTAAACAATATAATTATAGCTTGTTTGATATAAATCGGGAACATACTAAATTAATCATCCCCACACGATTGTCCCTACTAGAGAAATTCCTGAGTTATTTGATTGATCGACAATGAGCCTTGAAAGTTCCTAAACATTTTTATTTGTTATTTCATTTATTCAATGGAGATGTTGCATGTGTGAGGGATTAGCGATTTGACTGCTGTCTCTTACGTAAAAGTTTGAGAGAAACACGATGAAGCCACTGGTTTTCTCTGAGATCAACTCCCAAGCGCAAAAAAAGCTCTCAAAGTGAGGCCAAAATGGAGGGGATATCCCGCCCTACCCTGAAAGTCCACCTCTACATCAAAACAAACTCTCCATGCAAAGATAGGGAGCAAATACATTAGCAGGGTTGCCGTGTTTTCAGTTTTGGAGTCCCCAAAGAAAGTTGCAGCCCTGTCAATGTATTAACTCCCTATCTTTGCATGGAGAGTTTGTTTTGATGTAGAGGTGGACTCTCAGGGTAGGGCGGGATATCCCCTCCATTTTGGCCTCACTTTGAGAGCTTCTTTTGAGCTTGGGAGATGATTTCAGAGAAAACCAGTGGCACCATCGTGTTTCTCGCGAACTTTTACATAAGAAACAACAGTCAAATCGCAAACCCCTCACACATGCAACATCTCCATTGTTCCTTTTTTTGTTACACATTAAAGCTATAGCACATTAAAAGCGTATATAAATTATAATTATGATCTTTTCCCCCTCAGATGTGCATCGCTACGTGTTTCTTTTATTCAAGCAACCTGGGATATTAAATTTCACCGAAAGAGTATTAGATGCTCGGTAAGTATCCAAATTCTCAGCAAAAAGCTGAAAATCTCTATACAGAGAGAACAAGCTCATGTGAGCACGATTTTCCCTTAAAGAGATACGCTGTTTGGTGCAACACTAGTTACAACCATGCAGGGAGGCAACTGCAGGCGCGTTTCTTCGGGTCTAATTGGACTAGCATCAGTACACTGTTGTGCTAAGGAAGAACGCCCCATGAACATTCGACAGTTGCCAAATTTCCCTTGATAAAACATGCGTTTTTGACAACATTTATGCATATTTTTCCTCGAAATTTTCAGATATTTTAGATTAAATGGCGTAAAAAATTGTATGAAAATTCCGGAAAATAAGATACGCAATTTTCCCAGTAATTTTGTTTTTTATCGGAGGAAATTCGGCAACATCTGGAGGCTCATACGGCGTTCTTCCTTAGCACGGCAGTACAGCACAGCCTCCTAAATTATCCGCTATCAAGCACGGAGAGGTCGTGAAAATCAGCCCGAGACTTGGGCAAGTGAACTTGCGCCATCTAGTGAGCGATTATCCAAACAGCTCCGTATAATCCCTGACGAGGCAGTTTTCACAAACAGCAGTTCTCAGGCAGTTTCCTCTAAGGGAAAATTGTGCTCATATGAGGTTTTTCCCTCTGTATTGAGATTTTCAGCTTTATACAGATTTTTAACGCACGTTAGCAAAGAAATTCCAACTCACTGCCGATACGACTCGTGCGTCCACCGCAATCAGTTTGTAAATCCTTAACATCAACAATCACTTTCAAATTATTAACAAACAGGACACAAACTTGTCATCTTTGACAGTTTTGGAACTCTTTCAATGAATGTCTGTTACTCATAGAATATGACTCTTGCTCCGAGTAACTTAATTGACGCCTCGTAGAAAATTACCATTCCTCTCAAGTCATGTAAGTGTTTGTTGAGTGCAGTTATCATTTTACGTTCACATAACAACAAAACAAGTCTCCTGGTGACGGACGGAGAAATCTATATGAACCGTTGCACGCCTTACAAATAATAATCAGCTTTCCATCTTATTCGCTTTATTGACTATGTGTTCGGTGTTGGGTTTCTCGTAGAAGAACACGGAAAAAACAAGACTAGTGTTGAGCACTACTGGCCGTTTAGTGGGGAGTAGTTGAGGGCTGGCGTCTAAGCGCTGTACAGCTCAACACCGGAAGGCAGTACAGGTGGGCACTGAACATGAGTAGTGCTAATCAGATGCCGCGAGACGTAGTTGCGCTTAACAGGTGTAAATTCACCCGTAAGACGTCGGAGTCACCATAGCCTGGTGGTAACGCGCTGGTCTTCCAACGGCGCAACCCGAGTCCGATCCCAGGCGGAGGCGTTTCATATTTTACGCTCGCTCCAAAGTCACTTTAGGGCTTGACACTACTTCTTCCTTAGTGACCCAGCCTCGAGCTGTTTAGTGCCCAGCACTACTCTGACTTGCTGGCTCCATTTGACCTAACCCTCGTTAGTGTCTAGCACTAACATGTAGGTCCCAACCCTAAGCTCGTTTTTTCCGTGAAGATGAAGGGCACCCTCTTCCAGTGAAATACGATAGGGGTGGTGACAGGGGGTTTTAAATGAATTGAGAGAGTACCAACACCCTGAAGGACCGGACTGTTGGAGGACAAGGTACTGTGGCAGTGAGGCATCGTAGAGGGCCGGAGAATGTTGTGAAAGTTGCTTTTATGTATGCATTAATGTTATTTTAGTATTTTAATTATTTACAACTGGAAGTTCTTCTGCCAAAAGGAACTGGAGACGGGTGGGGAAGTAGGAATGTGCTTGTTCGTTGAGGATCGTAAGAATGAATGGGAATTATAAGCGCCAGTGACGTCAGAGACAAAGACCGGGCTCGACAAGCGCAAGGATGCCGCTTTAACTCTTGAGCCCCGTGTATAACGATTTTGTCACATGCCCACGGCTTATGAGTGCCGCATAAAGTTGGCGCTTAGTTCCTTATGATATATGAATAATTCATGTTCCCAAAAAGATTCACGCCCACTTTTACATTGTATCTTACGCATGTCAAACAAGCACACCCCGCACTGAGAAAAAACTATGGCTTATAAACCTATTAGAGGTAAATATGGAACACCACTAATAGTAGTACCTCTACATATAATAATAGCACATATACCTTAGTTATGGTACGGGGTACCTTAATTAGGTACAGAGACCTTAGTATGGTTCACAGACCGAGAATCATTAGTTTATTTACGACTATTATAGGTGTTCCATATTTACCTCTAATAGGTTTATAAACCATAGTTTTTTCTCAGTGCGTCACACACTCATAGCTATAGTTGCTTTTAGCATAAATACGCCTAATTAAAAAGAATAAAATTTCAATTATTACATTATTCTCATTTCCTTACTTTCTCAGGCCCATTGAGCTGTTGCGGTATAAATTTAGCACAAAAAATTTCGCAGAAAAATATAAATTTGGTCCTCCAGTTGCGATCAATTTTTTTATGTCTGGAGAAGTGCCGAAACGCGCTTTAGTATACAAAACAACAGTGACAAAAACGACATCATCAGCAACAACATCAGCAGTGAAAGTGACAAAATCAACACAAAAACAAAAACAAGCGCGTCAAATAACAACAACGCCAACGATAGCCGCAGTTGTAGAGGACAAAATGACAACAACTTTGCCATCGGTAACGACCTCAGCATATAAAACTGTAGCGACAAAGAAAACACGGAGGAAAAGGATAAAAACGGTTACCTCAACAAAAGCCAATCCCGAAACGGATCAAACGTTAAGCACTGCTACAACCGTGACGTCAAACACTGCTACAACCGTGACGTCAAGAACTGCTACAACCGTGACACAGAGGACGTCAAGTCCTGCAGCTGCCGCCGCAGTAATTCCGCCAGGCCCTCTCATACAATACGAAGATATTCCTGACGTAGTTCCTGTGGGTTACTAATATCTAATTTTTGCACACTGCGTGCCGTAAGATTATTAAGGAGCGTCCATAAATTACGTATCACGCTGAGGGAGGCGCGGTCAATGTCAGCGTTCCGTATTCCTCCCTATAGGTTAACATGATTATCACGGATATATCACCTGATTATCACGGTTACAACGGAAGTATCAATGCGAAGTAATACATCGACTGTGGAACTACCAGACCAAGTATTTCGATTTGCCACGTTGCAGACTCCCTGTCATACTTTACTTTTTTAAATAGAAAACTACTCAGCGTCAATTTTTAAAAACTTCCGTAATTTTGCTTCTCTGTGCGAAGAATACTCTGTGAAAACTCCAAGGAATGATATTGATTCGTTATCCACCAAAAAATGAAATAAGCGGAGATTATTAAACACCGTAAACGAAATACGCGGTCGGGTAGTTTCACCGTCGAAATTAAGAAGAAATGCAATGTGAGATATCATTGGAACCAAAGAATTTAATTTTAATTTTGACGGTGGCGGATGATCAAACCTCTCCTTACGATAAAATCCCAGAAGGGCAAATATCCAAAAATGGAAACCCCAAAGGCTTAAAAAAAATGATTAAAAATGGAGAAGAGTAGACAAAAAAATGTTCATCTTTGTCAGGAATCCGGTTGCTATGTAAAAATATTATTTTAAATTACGTGATATTAAATAGTATCAATCCAAAAGACAAACGAGCAAAACATTTTAGTGAACATGTTTGTGAATGATGTTAAAAAAAGGCTAATACCAAAATAAAGGAGAGCTGAAGAAGAAATATTTACATGAGTTTTGTCAGCACCTCAGCCTCAGCTATAATTTTATGCGAGAAACTTTAGCTTCCTCAATTAAAGTGAAAAGCAAAGGAGGCTCCAAAGATCCAAAAATACGGAACGCCTTCAATCTTTTGTTTATATTGCAAAAAATATATTAACCTTAATCAAGGCAGTATATAATGTTTTTAGTGCGCAATTTACTTTATTCCAAGATATTAAGATCCAAAAAGACGGAACGCCTTCAATCTTTTATTCATATTGCAAAAAATATATTAACCTTAATCAAGGCAGTATATAATGTTTATAGTGCGCAATTTACTTTATTTGCGCAATATGCTAGGCTTGGTAAGGGTGCAGTAAAGATGCGGGAGAAACAAGCAAAGCGCCATGCAGTTGATACTGCATGTGACGAACTCTAAACAAACATCAGAGAGCCTGAATACAACTATTCGAGCTTCACGGATGTCCGTGGTGCATACGCACGCCAGTGAAGGCGTTTTGACTCTCCGGGCACTCACCGTCTCACACGGAGAGGCGCAGCGAGGTGGCATGGCACGATGGGCAGGTCTGCAGGAATCCAGAAAGACGGAGCGCAGAGAAATATCTTAGCCACGAATAGTTGCTTAGCACATCGCGATTTCAAAACCAAAGCACAGAAGGTATTCTTACCCGACGCCTGTGTGAAACTAACCGTCTCTGTCTTTTGAATTCTCGCAGTTTTACCCGCCGCCACGGAAAAAAGGCGAGTGCCTGGAAAGTCGAAACGCCCTCTCTTCTGCGCGTATGCATCACGTATATCCACGAAGCCCAAATAGTGACATTAAGACGTTATACTGATCAAAAGGTCCTTCATTATTACGATTTCACATTCTATTAAAACATTACAAGAACTCGTCGTTTAATTTCATACATTGCAACCCGGAACGGAAAAGAAACGCTCGATACGCCGTAGCTTGATGTGCTACAAGGGGAGGATCCCCATCCGAAAATGTTGATATTTGGGGAAGGGGGTGCCGGTGCCCCTTTTCGTAGCCCCCGTGATGACGGGAGGTCGTGACCCTCCAAAAAATTTGCCCTGTATGATCAGGACAACAGTCCCAACCGGAGCATTTTATCTCATTAATGAAAAATTAGAGGTCTATCGAACGTTTCTTTTGCCCATCTTGGTATTGCGTAAATGCTCTTACGATTGAATGCAAATATCTACTGCAACCGAACATCCCCCTCCCCTCATTTTTTGGAGGATGAAGGAAATTATAATAGCAGCCCTGGTAAAAATTGGCGATAAGAGCTGCGTTTAAAAATACCATAGGAATTCTTATAGCCGGCTGAAGAAGGCTACAGAAAATCATATAGCTGGCTGTAGAATGCGGAGAAAAACATACGGCCGGGCTATGCGAAGCGATAAAAAATTATGCAGCCGGGCTATAATTCCTATCGCCGGGCTTTACACTTTATCGCCTGGCTGTTGCTTTTTTGCCATCGATCATGAAAGGCTATAAGAAATTGTGTAGAAATTCGTGTGCTTTGGGGATCATTAAGTTTGATACGGAACCACCTTAATATTTACAAAACACACATTATATTTTCCTTTAAAACATTTTTTTTTTTCATCAATTAAAATGAGAATAATCCATACAGGATGTGCAAACATTTCAAAATCATGAGTTGAATAACACTGACTCCGCCAGATTAAATATTAGAACCGAACACAAAGCGGAGCGGCGACGCACTGGCGCCTACAAACGTAACAGGGATACTTCACGCATTGCGCAACGCGTGAAGTATCCCTGTTAGGTTTGTAGGCGCCAATGCTTGTTTCGCGCTGGCTGCCCGCCTGCCACGGCGCTTGAAGCAACTATTTTACACCAGAAGTATTGCACAGTATCATACGAAACTGAAGGCGCTCTAATATATTAGTAATGGCAGGCATCCATCAAAAGTACGGAGCTTTCCTCGCAAAATAAATCAAGATACTACGGCCCAAAAAGAGAGCAGTATTCCAAAAACTCACCAAGGCCTAGCATCCGTAATTAGTAACGTTTAGCATACACTTTATTGCCTGGCTGTTGCTTAATCGCCATCGGCTATAAAAGGCTATAAGAAATTGTATAGCCGCCTATAGAAGCTATTGGAAATCTTACAGCCGGCTGTAGGTCTATGGTATTTTGGAACATAAATTCTACTGCCAATTTTTACCAGAGAGCCGGTAACTTCAAACTCATTGTCGAACTTTTGACATTTTCATGATATTTGATGGTAAATTTGGCAAATTTTGGACGGTATTTAGTAAAAAAGAGACAAAGTCCCCTTATCAAGCCAATGAAACTTATCGCGAACCTATTGTCGCGGCTTTAATTAAGGCGCTACCGAGCCCTCTCTTCTTCATCTAGCAAAGATATCACGCAACCATTAAACTACAGAAAAGGACAGTGTTTTCTTTTCGATAAACGAGTGAGAATGGAAACGAAGTGAATGTTGGTACATTGTAAGGGGGAGGGGGGTTGGTTTCTTGTTGATATAAAGGAATTTCATACTTTTTCTAAGTGATTTATGAATATGTCGAAGAAAAATAGTCAAATCAGGCATTTTATCAAATGCCTAGGCAAATAGTCAAATATTCTTACTTAGACTGAAATTTTGATTTTTTACCCTAATTTTAGACAAAACAATTCTTTGCTCCTGTAAGGAAGAATTCTCTGTAAACATATGCACCGTACGATAGTATTTTAAACGAGTTTTAGTTACTGAACGCACATTTATCTTAAAATTTTCGGCACGTTATAAAATATGGAGTTTTAACAATTTTTTCATTCAAACGTACAAGAGGCATTTGAAAAGAGAGGAACAAGGAGTGCTCGCGAATTTGTAGAGTTCCTCTTCCCAAAATATTGAAAATTCGGGAACTCCTCGCCATAATTTTACAGAATTCCATAAAGTGTCGAAATTTGACTACCAGCCTAGGCATTTGATAAAATGTCTGATTTGACTATTCGCTTTTGACAAACGCAAATCGAGTGTAGTGTACTAAGTCAGTGAATGTTCCACCAACGCGCTACGGCACAAGATGGTCTCTCTTAGAAACAGTATAGTTAACGGGGTAGGTGTCCTATGGTCCATTCTCGTTTTGGTGGAGACGAATGACGTCTTGCTGTCCACCGAGGAAGTCCAAGCAAAATTTAAGGAAGCCGGGATTGTGAGCGATCTAATTACTACGGCACCTAAGCATGCGATGGAGGCAAGTACTTTAAAATACAATGCTAATGCGTCCAAGAAGTTCGTTTTAAAAGGTACCAAGAGAATTTTGCGTGACGTTCAAAAGATTGATTATTGATGAACGATTCACAACTCTCTTGGACACCGTAGACTGCAAATCAGAAGGGTGCTCATTATCTGGTATGAAAATTTAAAAAAAGACGGAAAATCATCTAAAATACAGGCCCATAGTAAATTGATTGGCTTGTTAGCAGTTTCTTTATGAGCTCCCATTCCAGTATTGCCAGCCAAGGATCTGGCGATCGGAACTTTCAGTGTTTTTTCCAATAATATTTCCGAAGTTTCGATCCAATAAGCAGAGGCGGATCCAGCAATTTGGCAACACCGGATTTAAATCGATGCTAAATAATCGATTCTTATCGGAGCACCTGCCCCCTTCAAGTATTGATACATTTCCATAGGTTCAAATGGAGAAAAGACAATGTTGCCAATTTGCTGGATCCGCCAATGCCAAGAAGGTCACAAAGGCGCTATCTTTAAGTAAAATATTTGATGCGCGGGTCGGAAAATATTGAAGAATTTATGCCTTTTCGCCATTTTTTTCGGGTCTCCATCCGATACGCGGGATTTTGAGGTCTTTTTTCAGGGATGTTTTCGCGCCTAATAGGCATTTTGAAAAGTCCCATCCCAGAAAGCTAAAAATGGCTAATAATAATCGAGCACATTTGATTACAGGCATCTGGTGGCCGATTGCTGCGCTTTTAAGGCTTGCACGAAAGTGTTTGTTTCTCTCATTTTTGCAGACCATAGTCTCTCTGACTTCAAATTTGGTGTTAAGTTATAGGTGGTCTATAATACTACTACAGTCAAATTTGGGAACGAGCTCTCGCGGGAAGAGTTTGAAACAATGCCAACGAAACTAGGATGGCCAGCAAAGAAGGGCCGATACTACACTATTATATTCACAGGTTGGTTTTTGTTTGGTTCGTATGTCGTTAAGTAGGGAAGGAGAATTAGACTTGCATTTATACGAAAGTTGGCGTGCAGGCCGATTTTTGAAATTGATAGACTAAGCTGTAGACAAAGAAGACTAATCGAGCATATGTTACTTCAGCTAGTATAGTTATTGCTGTTCCCACAGGAATCACAATTTTTAGATGGTTGGCCACTTTGGGTGGAATAACATCTAATAAATTTAGTAATCTTGTTCCTTGATTTAGAAGTTTTCTCTTTTTGTTTACGATGGGTGGTCAAGCTGAAATTATTCTTGGCAATTCTGTTGATGTCTGCTTGCATTACATTTACACTACACTTGCTTGGATATGGAGGGATCCTATTGGTGGAAGCGGGTGCTTGCAATGGACAAAAGAGGCGGTAATAGACTATCTGACTGGAATCCTCGAGAGATCCTTCAGTTAGTCCAGCATTTTCACCCTTAGTCTATAGGAACCACCCATTTTAACCGATAGGATCGCTCTATACCCTCGACTTTCTCTCATTTTTTATTCTATAAATGAAACACTTTACTTCACGTTAAACTGAGAAAGCATCTGCGATTTTTCTTCTCTGTGTTAAAAAATACAGACAAATTTTGATTTAATTATTTTATTTATTTTTTTCCTCCTAGATCCAGACGTTCCTAAACGTTCGTTACCGATTGATAAAGAATGGCAACACTGGTTAGTGGGAAATATCCCTGAATGTGACTACCTTAAAGGAGAAGTTCTCTCACCTTATATCGGTGGTCTACCTTATCATTTGAAATGTAAGTACTCTCTCTGCTGTTATTTCCCGATATGCTGACCTAACTTACTTTACGCCCGAATTCATCAATGTGTGCCTTTGAAACCACTCTTATAGTCAAAGTCCAATTTACTATATTTATCTATTTTTTTATCTCTTATTTTGCCTATATTTTTGACTTTCGAAGGGCAGACATAAAATATTATCAGGGACGTGCACATAATAATGTAAATGGACCCTCCCCCTCAAAGAATTCCTAGCTACGCCACAGCATCTATCTGAAGATGAATGATCGCAAAATTAAAACATATGAGAAACACCGAAAAATTGTTCCGCCATTTGCCATAGTCATTCGTCAATTTTTTTTCTTTTTTTTTAAATTTCAAAGAGTCTCATTGATCTTCTTTTATTCCTCATAGACCCGCATAGGTACGTGTTTCTAGTATACTTACAGCCGGACCCAACACTCATTAAATTTGACGAGCCTCGCCTTCGTGAAAAGTAAGTAACTTCTCCTTACCACGCATCATTATCACTTTAAAAACATACAAATCAATAGCCACTGAAAACGATGTAATACATGACGTCATGACGCGTCCTTCACTGATTTTCCACGATTTTAATCTAATTTTTTCAAGAAAATAAAAAATCTAAGCTATCGAACTGTAATCAACACATGCAGTGTTAATGCTTGTGCATTATTGAAGACATCGAGATTTGAGAGTCTTTTTATCAAATCGTCGTTTCTCCGAGAGAGAACGTTCCAGGGTTGCAAAATTGACAAAAAATTCAATTTTTTACAAGAATGTACTCGCGCAACTTTTATTGAAGATTTTTCCTACTTTTGCCTGTGATCAATGAAATTTTTTGTTGGAAATATCCAAGATCCTCCTGGTAAAAATGCAATTAGCGCGGAGAAATTTGGCACCATTGAAATGTAAATACGTTCTTTCGTGTGGAAAACGACGATATAACACTTTATGAGTTTTTTATTTTATTTTTCTCATTATTTCTTGACAAACCGGTTCTGACATATGATTTCAGGCCTGTTGAGACAGAGCGATATCACTTTAACACGAGTGAATTCACTGAGAAGTATAACCTCGGCATTCCCATCGCGGGAAACTTTTTCGTAGCAGGGTTCGATCCGGACCCGACGCCAACTATACCACCGATCCTTAGAGGATTCTTAACAACAGGTGGAGAACAGATGCAAGACAATACGACGACTCCGAAAACAAGCTAAAAAGTTGATCTTCAATTTAAGAATTCAAAAAGACAGACTGAAAGAATATATTCTCTTCTGTTTCCGTTTCGTGTTTCCTCTCTTTTCTGCCCTTGTTCCTACTTATATCGGTTGAGAAATGGCTGAAAATGCAAGTCTTTTCAGTTCAGATGCAACTCGATGGCTAAGCAACAATACCGCCTATCTGCAAACTGACAATGTTGTAGGTCGAAGGCAAACTTCACCATTTTTGTAATTTCGAGGTGTGATTTGCAATTTTTTATACATTTCAACGTTAATACAGGGCTTTAATGCGGAGTTGAAAAAAAATTAAAAATTTCAGCTTACATATTTTTATTGTAGAATGCAGCCAAGTCACTGAATCATTTTTGCTGTAATCGTCAATAGGCGGCACTGTCCCTCAGCCATCGAACTGCATACTTATGTTTGGTTATTACTTGAGGAACTGAAAAGAAACGAATGTTTGACTTGGAAAAAAAGAAAGACTGAATGAAAAATGCGGGACAAACTTGACTTGAAAAACTAGACTTGCTTAAGCCGGGATTTCCACCGAATACATTTTGGCGCGAGCTCGCAGCGCCCTCTACCAATGGGCCTGTTGCAACTTTTTGCCAGAGCAAGATTGAGATAGGCGCTCCTAATAGAAAATGGGTCAAAAACCACGATGAGCGCATCAGCGAAGTCTGGAATGCACCCTTAACTTCATAATTTGCGGAAAGAATTTGCGATGGTTTTTTTTTTTTTTTTTTTTTTTTTTTTTTTTTTTTTTTTTAGCTTCCCGCTTCAGAAACGATACCACGGCACAGGTGGACATTTGTTAGAGGAGTCGCTCCATTCAACCCTTGCGTACTAGAATGTTTTGCAGTACTCAACATAACCGACGCTATCAAGACGGATCTTTATCATCGCGAGGAAAACGAGAATTTCTTACGCCGATTGTGAAGTTGGGAGTGAATTTCAGACTTTGTTGATGGGATTTTTGAGCCGTTTTCCACAAGAAACAACCCTTATATTTGCCCTAACAAAAGTTCACAATAGGCCCATTGGATTACATTGTGCGATTTGGAACTACACAATTTGTGGCTCCATTTAGAGACAATGATTGTATCATTAGTTTTCCCATGTATATTTTTTTATTATAATTTATACATGTATTTCTTTAATAATAATAGTTTTACAAGATTTACAGAAATCAAGGTGAAACCATATTGGCGCACTGCTTACACCTGGTTACAACAATTACAATGATGTATCGGAAAATATAAGTCATTAGTCTACAGTTGTAAACGAGACATGAAAGTGCTAGTAATAAATATTCTAATCCTTATTTGTTCTATACCCATCCATTAAGGTTTATCTACATTAATTAATATTATGAATTGGAGGGAAAAACCCTTCGGAACGCAGGGAGGAAAATCCAATTATTTCTATACTGCTGTTTAAAGTAATGGAATAAGCTTCTCTACTAGAAGATTCCTATGTACTTTGTTTTCACGGACGAGCCAGAATTTGTGGCCCCTAATATTTGCAAAACGATGTCCAGTTGTAATGAGAGCCCGTATTAAAAGTTACGGGCGTCAAGCGTTGACATGACTCCTACGGTGACAGACCACGGAAATCCGTAAATTAATACAATGAGATCGGAGAGAAAGCTACTGCGGAGCAAAATTAGAAAAACGCCTTCAAATGAGAATGATACCACGCAATACATTGTAGGTCGTATAGTTGTATCATTCTTCTGTAATATATTTCATGTAGAATACGATGGATATAATAATGACCTATAATCTCACCATACTCAACAGAAACACTACACCCAATAGTTCATAAATTCAAATGAAATCAATTTGATAATTACTGATCTATACGTATTTCGTCAAGATCAAGTATGAGATTGAAAAGGAATCCAAAACACCTCATTAAACGATTGTTCCCTTGAAAGCTGAAAGTTGCCTTTCAGTCGATCATTCATTAGTTTCAGGAGAAATACGCGTGTGCTTATTACTCGATAAAGGTTTTTAGTATCTCTGCTCTCGAAAAAATGCATATCATGAACTTAGTGACTACAGTTTTTAGTATAGCTTCTTACTCCCTATTGGGATTTTTTCTCTCTAAAATTTTGTAAAGGTTAGCTAGGGAAAGTAAATAAGCTGTATCAATATGAAATGGCCAGTGTTCTAGTTTAGGTGCTCAAACATGTGAAGTCTTTGGTGTTGCATGCTCAAATCTGAACGTAGTGTAAAGAGCCAACGACAAGGAAGAGTGTTTGATACAATATCCTTCAAAATTCGATCAACATTTTTCTCATGGAGGTTTCTTTTAAGGACTCCAAACTAGGAAACGAAATCAAGGTAAGGTTCTTCTACTTATCAAAAGCTCATTTCACTGTAAGTGAACACATGAGATTTGTAGCCTCGTGAGGTTCATTGTGAGGACTGCGTGTGGAGTAAACAATAGCTTTTTTTAAAAATTAATTTGTAAAACGGAAACATAATACTGCGCAAGAAGTGTACATATCACCGCAGCTGAGTATGAAAGGCTTAAGTACATAATGAGGAGTCAATTTGGATTAGAAAATAGATAAATAGATTCTCATTTTTTTAATTCTTTTAAAAATACTTAATGCTCGGTTTTTATTGACTAATAATGTATTTGGTGCGCAAACGTCTGGTAAAATGGAAAAAGCTAATTTCTTTGAGCAAATTTTATTACAAGTATTCAGCTCTAGGTGTAAATCAAAGTGCGATTGTTTTCAGAGACTTGATGAGAAAGACGGAAATCTTCAATAGAAAAAAGTTTAGATTTTCATAATCAAGTTTAATTTTACAACATGCACCTGAAATTACTCAATCATATTTCTAATGAGACTCGGTCATAGACCTTTTTAAGTTCGAAGTGTTAAATCAGCTCGAGATGAACCCATTCGATTTAGTATTTTCAGCTTACGAATACTCGTATATTTTTTGCAGCACCCGCTTAAGAAAATCTCGTTTTTCAATGAGGCATGCTTCATCACTGCAATTACATTTTTTTGTTATTGCATCAAAGAATCTGTTTCGGAAATCAAATTAGAGCCAACGAAAATGAAAAATGATTTAAATAGGAGTGGTATCGTTCCCGATATTATTGATGTATTCCCTGAAAATGTACTCCAGGTAAACAATAATTGCTTTATTCTCAGCAAATCCCTCTTAAAAAATCAATCATTTAGCCGTTGGTTTCTCACTATGGACTTCCTTCTTCTCTACAAACATTAAGTGATCATTTATACAATATCTTTGGAAGGAAGAAAAGCTGAATAAATTAAGAATATACGCAAGATCCTCAAAGAAATTCGAAAACCATTGATTTTCCTACCTAAATCGCTCAATTTTCATAATGGCTACTCAAAGAGAAAGTTACCATTTATCGGCTATGATGCGTCCAGCCCACTTACAAACTGGGGCTCTCAAATTGGCACCAATTCTTCTATTTCTCAGCCATTTCTGCACGGAATTCCTTAAAAATTTCAAGATCTGATCTGTGATGTACAAATCGATAATCTTCAAAGATCGTCGGCCCGACGATCTTTGAAAGGCAACAGTCAACAGTTCCATCGATGAGCCTCTTTGAAGCCCCTAGTTTGAAGGTGGGCTGGACGCTTTAACGGTAGCGGTAGCGTAGATGGTTAAAATGACGGATATTTTTAGGCATATTGTTTCGGAGATAATTTTACTTTAAGAGGTGGGTCATTAATTCACAGATTAGCAATATCATCGCGAAGGTTTGACATTGATCAAGTACGTTGAAATTCAGACAGCACTGTATTCACAAGCTATTCACAATCAGCAGGAGAGTATTACGGGTCACTTCTGATTTTGAGTCCAGCGCGATCTGCTCTGTATCTTAGCTGTTGAGGTTGTTCCACTTGGCTCGGGCTGATCTGAATGGAACCGCGATGGGTCACGCCAATTGTAATGAGCCCAGGCCGATTATTTTATGGAAAGGTACCTATGTGACAAACCAACATTCTGAGATTTTGATTCTCTTTACTTGTCTTTACTCCAGCTGCCGGCCTTCTAGGGTGTAGTGCCTGTAGCCCTGGCTCTGTGATCCAGGCCCATCACAATCAGCATGATATGTCGAGGTCCTATTCAAACCAGCCCGGGCCAATAATTACAATCACCCCGGCAAGCACTATTGGATTGCAATCGGCTGAAACCAATGGTAATTGGTCCAAATTCTTAATAGACCGATAATAGATGCACCAGATCATACCTCGCCGATGACTTTTTGCACCAATCGTTACAGAATGACTTACTACCAGGTAATACTGCGAAAACATTAAAGCTCTTGAGTGTCTGCCCGACGCACAAACTAGGCCAACAAACTTGCTCACCGGTTACCTTCACAAAACGTCGGTCCAGAGTTCTTTGAGAGGCAACAGTCACCGATAAGCCAGTTTGTGGGCTCTAGTTTGCGCGTGGAACGGACGCTACATACACTTATTGAAATGTGTCCTTTTTTAAGGAACCAATACATGAAAAGTTTCAAAAAGGGCGACCTACAGTTTGATTCATACTGCATGGTAACAGATAAGATAATGATTGCTCTATAGAACTTCTTTAATAATGCAAACTGGGAGGTAACTGTCATTGATGGCAACCGTATTTGATGACAAAAGACTGAACGATCATTTCATGATATACAATGGGTAGGTACTGTCATTCCAACAAGCGTCACAGTTTTAGATTACAATTTTCCGGTCACGATAGGTGCACCTAATCAGCACCGTTAATTGTACAAATTATTTACAGTCATTATCCATGATTTTCCTCCTCAAAAATGTTTTGATACACTAGATGAATCGTGAACTCAAAATGGTGGCACTCTTCGACCTAATCTTATTTGTGACTTTTTGAGAGAAGTGCGGTGTATGTTTAGTTTGATGCTATCATTGTTTTATCATCCCAATTTTTCTCCCAAGTTCCACCTGCAAATGATGGTCTTAGAGCCCTATTGCTAAATATAGCACTAAATCTGAGCTACATGATTAAGTGGAGATCTCATCTCAATTTAAATGCACCCGTCTTTTTGTTTTCTAGATTGAATATGAAAACCACAAGGAGGTGGCTTTTGGTAATGATATGTCACGCTGGGATACGTTTGATCAACCGGTAAAAATATCATACCCGGCGGAACCAGATGCCTACTATGCCTTAATTATGACAGGTGAGTAGAGGAAATAATTCTCAAGAATGATTCAAACTCAGATTTGCACATTATTCTTAAGAGACCAGATTGACGATAACTATCAGAAAACTTTTAAGATAAACTGAATCAAAATGCATGGTCGAGCGAGTGTTAGGGTAGGTTAGGCTCAACACGAATTTTAAGAAAAATTGTCCATGTTTGACCACCAATTGAGAAACATAGAGTCACCAGTTATATTTATGATGGTTTTGGAGGTTCAATTTTGCTTCGATCACATTGTGGCTTAACTAAAATATGCTGTTTTTCTCTGAAGGTATATTGTTGTCCTTACAAAGTAAAATTGCTCATTTTAAGAGCCTTTAAATACAAAATAATAATATACAACGACGGACCAATATGTTGACTACCATATTTTCTCGCAGACCCGGATTGTCCTTCGAGAGAAAATCCAACTCACCGAGAATGGCAGCATTGGATTCTTGTTAATATTCCCGGGGCGAACTGGACTCAAGGTTTTTGCCTGACGGAATACATTGGGATTCTAGGTTACTACGAACATGGTTGGTAATTCCTCCTAATGCTAGTCATTGTAATTTGAAAAAAAAGAACTCTTAAAACAGTTATTTGCGTGTTGAATTGAACGTACATTAAAATATCGTCCATAAAAGTGATAAAGTTCAAAATTTGATTTCGGCCGTCATTTATACGAAATGCATTTTTTTGACGGGGTATCAGACATTAATTTTTTACGTGTGGATTTTTTTTCTTATGACTGAGGAACTCAATTGAGGAGAGTTACCCCTAATTGAATTGTACGGAAAAATTCAAACCTTAAAAATTCATGGCTGATACCTCGTTAAAATAGTGATAAAGGCTTGTATAGTGTCTTCCTTAATTGATCAGCACAGCCCAAAAATTGCAGAATCTTAATCAATGAGTTACAACGCAAAGCACCTTTTTTCGTCTGAGATTTTTGAATGATTCAAAATGTGCAGAGGAGAGACTCTCGAGTAGTGATTTAATTAAGAAGTCGCTCATTTTAGAGAGGCTCCTCATAAATCATTATTTGATCGATCAATTGGATTCAACAGAGTGGTGGGTAAACTTAGAAGTGAATTTTTGTCACCTCATTATGAAAACCGCTCATAGATATATATTTTTTTCCACAGCTATTCACCGTTATGTCTTTCTTTTATACAAACAACCCGGGAAGTTGAAATTTACAGAAAGAGTGTTGGACCCCCGGTAAGCATAATGTGTAATTCTTTTCAATTGAATGGGTAGTTCAATTTATTTAAGTTTCAAGAGTATGGTGTGTTTAAGCTAACCATTGAATTGGCCTGAAGTTTTTTACCGACGAATCAGTACAAAAACCGTATTTAGACCCCGATCGATAATATCAAATGAAAAAACTTTCAAAATCCAAGTTCTAAATATTTAGCAATTGAAGTTTGATGAAATGATGTGTGCGCAATGATTCATGAAAATTACTTTTGACATTTTGAAAGGAATGATAATAATATTCAGTGTGGAATGGACATTTGGTAATAAGAATATTGGAGGAGAGGTTGCCCAAACCAGTTTTGAATTGGGTATACCGCCGGAAAAAGACGACGGGGGCGTCCCTTGAAGGGATGACGACAGTGTGTTTTCGAAGAGAATGATGTTGCGTCGTCAGTTGTCTCTAAAAAATGGAACATGTCGATGGTGTAACTGCCAGACCACGTATTTCGTTCGCGATGTCTGAAAATCTCCGCACTCATTTTATTATTTTTTTTTTTTTTTTTTTTTTTTTTTTTTTTTTTTTGTGGAAGAACTCAATTCAATATCATTTTTTGAAGTTTATGCAGAATTTTTCCCGCACTCAGAAGGAACATCACGGAAGTTTTCAAGAATTGACGTTGGGTGGTTTCCTACTTAAAAATTAAAGTATGGCAGGAAGTCTGCAACGTCGCAAACCGAGATACGTGGTCTGGTGGTTTCACCGTCGATGTGGCGTTTAGGTGTCGCAGGGTGAGTTGTGAAAGCGACTTTTATGTGTGTGCGTAGGATGATAATATGAGTGCAGAACATAAAATTTGCTTAACTTAATAGTTCACAATACTATTTCTTTAGGATTTAATACTTATCCGGCATGAGCCTATAATTCCATTTTTTCTGACTCTAGGCCCGTCGAAATGTTGCGGTATAAATTTTCCACAAGGAATTTTGCAAAGAAGTACAATTTTGGTGACCCCCTTGCCGTCAATTTTTTCATGTCAGAGGCAGTTCTGAAGAGCACCACCGCAGCTGTATGATCAGAGGCAGTTTTCTATCATAACTGCAGCCAGAGGATGGTCGTATGAGACAGAGCACAAAATTCGATAATTTTGAATTATACTGGCTCAAAGGACTTTGAAAAACTGTAAAACTTTTTGACAGTCTAGACTCCGGGTTAAGGCAAATTTTTTTCCAGTGTAGCTATTACGGGTTTTGCCTCTATCTGATGAGGAATAATCGCAATTTTCAAACATAAATATCACCGCCAAATTATTACGTCATTAGTAATACTCATTCGTCAGTTTACATTTTTTTTTTAAATTTCAATGAGTCTCATTGATCGTATTTTATTGTAATGTGTAATGTGTTGTAATGTGTTAAAAGTGACGGGTGTCAAGCGTCAGCATGACTCCTTTGGCGGTAGACTACCAAAATCCGCGTATTAATACAATGAGATCGAAGAGGAAGCTACTACGGAGGAAAATAGAAAACGCCTTCACTCGAGAATGATACTCCGCAATACAGCGCAGTTCGTATAGTTGTATCATTTTTGGGTTCTCTTATGTACACCAGAGTTAACTCTATTCCACACATGAGAGTCTTCAGCTGTGATTTCTCACTCTTCCAGCCCGCACTAATCATTCGCGGCAATCATTTCTTTTGTTATCATGTGGAACATGACGGATATAATAATGACCTATATCTCACCATAATCAACAGAAACACTACAAGCAATAGCTCATAAATTCAAATGACATCAATTTGATAAATACTAATCTATACGTATTTCGTCAAGATCAAGTATGAGATTGAAAAGGAATCCAAAACACATCATTAAACAATTGTTCCCTCGAAAGCTGAAAGTTGCCTTTCAGTCGATCATCCATAAGTTCCAGGAGAGATACGCGTGTTATTATTCGATAAAGGTTTTCAGTATCTCTGCACTCGAAAAAATGCATATCATGAGCATAGTGACTACAGTTTGTAGTATAGCTTCTTACTCCCTATTGGGATTTTTTCTCTTTAAACTTTATAAAGGTTAGCTAGGGAAAGTAAATAAGCTGTATCGATATGAAATGGCCAGTGTTCTAGTTTAGGTGCTCAAACATGTAAAGTCTTTGGTGTTGCATGCTCAAATCTGAACGTAGTGTAAGAGCCAACGATAAGAGTGAGTGTTTGATACAATACCTCTAAAGATTTGATCAAAATTTTTCCCATGGAGGTTTGCACTAAGGACTCTCAACGAGGCAACGAAATTAAGGTAAGGTGATGCTTTACTTACCAAAAGCTCATTTTGCTGAATTTGAATGAATACATGAGATTTACAGCCACGTGAACTTTATTGTGAAGACTGTGTATGGAGCAAACGTTGTCTTTTTTTAAAATAAATTTGTAAATTGGAAACGTAATAACACTGCGCAAAAGGTGTACATGTCATCGCAACCAAGTGTGAAGGGCTTATATGTAGGTATATGAGTACATTAATATGAGGAGTTAATTTTGATCAGAAAATAGTAAAATAGATTCCCAATATTTGAATTATTTTAAAAATACTCAGTGCTCCGTTTTAATTGACTAATGGTGTATTTGGCGCCAATTTATTTGAGAGAATTGCTTTGTAAATATTCAGCTCGAGTTTAAATCAAAGTGCGATTCAATTGTCCGAATATTAAGTCGATCTCTTTGGGTGAAGTATAGGTTATGGTGCTTAATTTTTTTAGAGACTTGACGAGAAAGGCGGAAATATTCAATGTAATACAGTTTAGATTTTTATTGTCAAGTTTAAACTAACAACATCCACCGAAAAATACTCAATCCCATTTTAAGCAAACTCGGTCATTAATTAGATCTTCTTAAGTTCGAACCATTGAATTAGGTGGAGATGGACTCACACAATTTAGTATTTTCAGCTCACGAATACCTGTATATTTTTTGCAGCACCCGTTTAAGAAAATCTCGTTTTTCAATGAGGCGTACTTTATCACAGCAATTACATTTTTTTGTTATTGCATCAAAGAATCTGCTTCGGAAGTCAAATTAGATTCATTGAAAATTAAACATGCTTTAAATGAGAGTGGTATCGTTCCCGATGTCATTGATGTATTCCCTAAAAATGCGCTCCAGGTAAGCAATTGATTTACTCCCAGCAGACTTCCCTAAAAAAAACTAAAAAAATCAACCTTTTATTTACCTATTGATATTTCACTGGACTTACTTTTTCTCTACAAACCTAAACAGCTTACTTATACATTATCCTCGAAAGAAAGGGGAGCTGATAAAATTAAAAATTTACAAAAGATCCTCAGAAAAGTTTGAAAGCCATTTGTTTTTCCACCAAAACCGCTCAGTTTTCATGAGGGCTACTCCAATAGAAAGTTGCTATTTATCAACTATTAATGGCAGTGTAGGGTAAACGACATGGGCAAATTAAAAAGGCGGATATAAAATTCAGGTTATATCGTTTTGGAAATAGTTTTACTTTACGTATTAGTGGGTTATTTTAACACAGATAGATGCACAAGATTTTATCTCGCCAATGAAATTTTGTACCAATCGTTACCGAAGGACTTACTGGCAATACTGCGAAACTGTTAACTTCCCTAAAGCGTCCGCCTCACGCGCAAATAGTCCCATAGAATGGCTCACCGGTTACCTTCAAAGAACATCGGCCCGAAGCGATGGGCAACAGTCACCGATGAACCGTTTTTGGACGGACGCTATACAGGGTGTCCCAGAACGCTCGTATCAGGCCTTTTTCTCGGTTGATTTCGGAGTCGGGGATCACGGGGTTGAATAGGGAATTGACCCCAAGGAATCCGAATTTCATGGTCCTGAATCCCCCCAGCCCCCCTTGGAGGGTAAAGGGAGGGTCACAATCCGAAAAGTCGAGGTTCTTGATCGAATTTCGATTCGATTTCATTAGCATGGGAAAGTACGGAAAATTTCACGTGAAATCGACCCCTAAAAATCCAAAATCGGACAACCTTACGCCCAAAAATGATCCCTTAAAGAAGGGGACAGCGGCCCCCACTATAATTTCCCTTTGGTCAAAAATTGACGCAGATTCTCCGGGAAAAGAAGTATTCCCAGGTATTCGACCCCAAGAAATCAGATTTTCATGGTCCCCCATGGGCTCCCTAGGGGGNGGGGGGGGGGGGGGGTTGGAAAATGGAGAAGGCAAAATTTCATTTTACCTCCCAAGGGCGGCGAGGAGGTCCTCGGGACCATGAAAATCGCGGATTCCCTAGGATCGGTTACCTGAGAATTCATCTTTTTTCGGAGAATCTGCGTCAATTTTTGACCAAAGGGAAGTTATGTAGGGGGCCGCTGTCCCCCTCTTTCAGGGATCCTTTTTGGGTGAAAAGTGGTCCAATTTTGGAAATTCAGGGGTCGATTTCACGTAAAATTTTCCGTACTGTTCAATTATAATGAAATCGAATCAAAATTTGATTAAGAACCTCGACTTTTAGGATTTTGACCCCCCTTCACCCTCCAAGAGGGCTGGGGGGGGGGGTTC